TTATTTTTAAATTTATTGAGTCTTATCACAAACATTTTTTAAAAAATTCTATTTTCTTTTGAATAAATATTGAGAGTAACTTTAATGTTGCAATTGTGAGCGTGATGTAACTATGCACTACTAACTTGGTCCCAGTTCCAAAGTTGTACATTCGTCGCGCCGCACGTTCTCTGATACTCTTCTAGAGGTGGCTCTATAAGAATGACATCAAATTTACAATTGAGCTCTTTCAAATTATAGGACAGCAGGTCTGTTTTTAGATACATTGGTGGAGTTGCAGTCTCTGCAATTAGATCATCCTTCAACTTTATCAGTTCACGTAGTTTTGGATACTCTTCAAATCTGTCCGCCAAACCCACGTCTCTGATAAAATTCTGCGGCCGTTGGCCAGTGTCAATAAAGTGCTGACAGTAGTCATTGTGTGGATTCGATGATTGCGTTCCCTTTACATACACAAAAGATATTTTAAACACACTGTATGTCAATATAAAATGTGCAAAGTACTAATACCTTCAAAAACGTCGAGGAATCTTTATACACAATCTCATCTGTTGGAACATCATCTTTTAAATCTTTGATCCTACTATCAAACTTATCATTGGAGAGCTTGCCTCTCTTCTTCTGTGTGTCCTCGACATCGGTTCCCAGAATCTGCCGCAATTCATCTACGCTTGAAACTCCCAACTGCAAATGAAAAGACAAATATTTAAAGATATATTATTAAAATAAATTTAATATTCATTTGTGTTGTAGAAGTAATATGGTTTCTTGAAATTAATTAATGCTTTTTAGTCAATATTAACATCTCACAGACCAAGCAGCAATAATTGGGTTATATATTTTGGCATCAACTCTGCAGGATTAATCTTCAAAACTACGATGGTCACCGCTTTTTGGGAGTGGGAGGAGGGGGGGAGGGTAAAAATTTAGTACTCACCGTTTGGGCCAAGAGTTTCTTGCGTTTCTGAGAACGTTCTCGACGAGCCTGCAGCATCGTTTGCATTCTCATTCACGTTGCAAGTGCAAACATGTCCAAGGAGTTTTCGCGTTTCGTCTCACCTCGCAGAATCAGATCACCGATGCCAGGAGGCGAAGTTGAAGAATGACGGAAGAGCAGAACGTGATTTGGGTTGTCACAAGGAAGGCTTATCTCGACGTGAATCAGATTGTGATTTCGACGGCGTGGCCTCGTCTAAGAACAACGAGAAATCCCATTCTCGATTTATTCTTCTTCTTCTATCTGTTCTCTTTAGAACACGGCGAGGATGTCTTCTTTTTCCTCGTATTCTCTGTTGCTTCGATACTTTCTTCGATTTCAGAAGCTTTGAAATCACCAAACTCTATGAACGTGCTAACCTAACCTCCTGTCGGATGCCGACATGACGCGCGCGACCGCGACGACATGTGTGATGTGTTAACGATTGACAGCAAAAGCTCGCCTGACGCCAGGCGAGGTAATCGGGAATATTGGGATTACGCCAGGATTACGCTATCAGTCACGTCGGTAATAATGCTTGCTGCATTTACCACACTCTAGCCACTATGTGACGTGTTGCAATTGTTGCAGAAGTAAAATTATTTACATGTCGACACTATCCCTGTACAAAATATATAAACATAGGAAAAAAGCAACAACAAATTTGACAAAAATAATCATTGCCTATGCCATTAGAATTAGATAATTGTTTGAGACGATTGTATCGTCTGTTGATACAATTATTTACACTGAAAGTATAGTTCAAATATCTAATTCTCGATCAAAACATAGTTTTTGTTATTAAAAAAACTGAGTTCAAGTTAATAAAAATATATCCGTGCGTAAAAGATTTGAAGCATCCTGTATATAGATAAATATATAGATATGGATCAGGAAAACACAGTATAATGGTATATCCGTTTCTTTCGAATTGTATACTTTAGTTTTTGTTTATTTCTTGCGTATTGTTATATATTTTGACATGAGGGACAATTAACAAATATAACTTATTGGATCATACAGTGTTTATAAACTACGATTTAAGGAAGAATTAAAACGGTATATTAGTATACATATATGTTAAAATAGCGTCAAACAAACGAAAAAAGATAAAACAGAAAAATTATATGTAGTAACCTCATCATTAACTTTACATTAACATTCCCCAGCTCTCATTATGTTAAGTGCTACGAATTATTGAGACAAAAAGACTCGATATGGTTATTTCCTTATTTGCTCGTTACTTCCATTTTCGTTTTACGACACGTTTTATACTTTGTTACATATAAATAATTACGACATTATCACGTCGTGTAATAGATGTACATCGCATCGTACATAGGTGTTTGTATCGTGCTACGTATCTGGTTAAATATTTGAGAAATATCGTCGTTTCGATTCTCCCCTACAAAAACGCATCGCGTAGTCAGAGAAACAGAGATAGAGGGAGGGGGGGGGGAGAGTCAGTATTACTGATCAGTATACATTAGTTTTTATAATCTTATACGATCAGGTATTATTGATAATATTTCACTTCAGTTTGACGTGATTTGACGTATATTATTATCTATGGCGACATGGATCTTAAGGAAAAAGCATGTATTTAAGTCCAAATCATCGTCAGTATTCTACGTCAATCCATTAATATTAACCACACACAATCAATAATATTGTCAGTATTCGTTGATACTGACAGTATTACTGACCGTGTACAGAGACCTTAAGGAATGCGCGAACAGCTGATGCAGCACTCATTGTCAATAGAAAAGGAAATGCAGAATCAGACGAAGAAATCGTCGCCGTACAGTGCGACGTACAATGGAAGAGAAAAATGCAACCATAGATATGAACAAATTCACGACGAATGATGAAAAAGAGACTCACATAACGGAAAAGAGAAAATTAGGAAAACGAAATATTTTTCGTGTCTGTGTTCTTTACGGAAATTTGGAATACTGGAAGGAACTGATTAATTAATTATTTATTTTACCGATGTTTAATGCTTTTGATAATGAAAATAAGTAATCAAACGATATATTTCGTGTATTCACCTTTTCATTTCTCTCTTCACATCCATTATAAATTCAATTTAATACTGAAAAATTACTAATACAAGTAATACATTACTGAACAATGACACTTTTAATATTCAGAATATTAAAATGACCCATATATTAAATATAAAGAGATTAAATATAAATAGGTCTCTATACAAGAGATGAAGGGAGATGATTGGTAGATATATGAAAGCTTTTTTAAATAAGAATATTCGTCGAAAAGAGAGAAGGAAAAGAGATATGGCAAATTCGATGTGCATACTAACGAACATCAAAGCCATCGTATATAAATTGACGTAAAGAGATGTGTTTTTTAATTCAAATACAAATATAAAAACGAATGAAACCGTGAAATCCTCAACACACAAGTCAAGTACGTATATACTTTATATATAATTCAAAATATTTGCATTTTATTTTTACATTGAGATTAAATCAGTGTACAACGACTTTAATACACCAGTGCGTCCAACCGAATTTGTTAATATAGAGAGAGGAGTCAAGGAACTGGAGGTATGTATAACAGTAGAAAAAGAAGTGCATGTCCCGCGACGAGGGAACTCCTGCATTGCGCCCAGTGGAAAAGGAGGCTGCGATCAGCCGGAGGAGGCTGGTCGACAACAACACGCAGTGGAGAAGGATTGCGTTGGCCGGACGACGGAGCCGACGCGACGGCGGCGGCGGCGGCGGCGGCACCGACGAGATAACAACGGAGATCCACGTCACGCGCGTTCGCCAAAAGAATGAAAGTGAGGGAACGAACATACGTCGTCGTCGCCGCCTCCGCCGCAATGCAGCACGCTGGCTTTCATTCCCGCGGGTGGGTGCATCAATCCGCTTTAAAATTGGCGCGCGTTCTGTACACGCGGCTCTTCCGCCAGCCACTAATCGATGCGGATGGATTACCTCTCGAAGAGAGAAAGAAGGAGGTAACGTACCGCAAATTGTGATACATATTTTGTTGAATTTATATACCGAAAATAAACGTTCCGATGAGAGATTAAATGGATTTTGGATTCTCTCATCTCTTCCTTGCGTGGTATGATTTTAAGCTCAATTTAAGTCACTACGCTGAGAAAAATGTTCTAATTAAACTAACAAAAGGGCTCTTTCCAGGTGACAAGCTGACGTTATTTGCATCGGTTATGATAATCAGAAATTTCATTTGTTCTCACGAAATGCCATTCTCTCTTGTCAAGTTCTTTTGTTGATTTAATTAATTCATTTTTCTCAACGTAGTGACTTAATTGAGCTTGAAATTATGTCGTAGAAAAGGGACGAGAGAGTGCAAAATTCCGTTTAATCTCTCGCGTTGAAGAAATTTAATTTTATTTCTCCGTTATTAGGTACTATCCACGAAGGAATTACGTTAACGCTTTGGCTTACGGTTGCGGAGTTTTAAATCTCAGATTTAACGCACCGTGTGATCGTATTGTATGCGTAGGATATTGTAACAAGTAAAATTTCATCTTAAGCTTCGGGATTAGAAAACAGAGATATCTCGTGTATATTTATCCAATATATCCGTCAAAAAGAAAAACAAACTTTATTTTCTTTCCTTAGTTAAGTAAATTTTCTTGGTCAGGGCATCATTTATATTTGATAGAGGTACTAGTAGGGCCGCTAGTAGATAGATTGTTCCATCTCTCGGTAAACTTTACGCGTTATTAGGTAAGTAGCGAGATTATATTGTATTACGTCAATGAGGAGAAATCTTATCTCGCGTTTTGCTCCACTTGCGGGTGGAGTTGACGGGCCCCCTGCCGATTTCGCTCCTCTGGTTCTCCAATGGTCGTGAAAATGAATTCGACGCGTGTCGGACGTATCATCTGATACACGCCGTCCAGGAAAATAATTTTTTGCCGACGTTCTCTCATCGAGACAAAGGTCTCCGCTACGCGGGTATTGTATACATATAATACACACAATATGTATCGCACACATCGACGCGATCGGTAGCGAGCGCGATGTCGACGATGTCGTCGGAGCGATGGGGAGCGTTCCTCAGGAATGAGGATAAAAACCAAATGAATCGGTGGCACGCGCCGCGATTGGTCGCCGTCCCGGTGCTCGTCACTTACCCCGAAAATCGGCTCGGATTCCGGGAAACGGTACCGAGAGGCTCTCTCGCGCCCCGCGTCTCCCCCCCCGGGGTAACTCCCCTTTTACTTCTTACCACCGCCATATTTTGTTTACACCGCGCACACCGCGCCGCACACTGTCGGTCGATTGCCCGATCGCTCGCTCGCTCGCACGGATTACAACGACAGGTTACAGCGCTGCCGCCGATCGAGTTGGACGGCAGCAGCAGCGGCGGCGAGGACGAGGACCAGACCCCGGGACGAAGAGACAGAGATTCACCGGCGGGACCAAGACCAGGCCCCCGCGACACCACACCACACCACACCACACCACACCACACCACACCACACACGTGTGACTCGATAGATCCGACACAGTGCCATCGTCGTCGTGCAGGTCAGTTCGCGTCTTCGGGCGACAGTGATGTGAAGTGTGATCCATCGGATTATCAATTTACCACCCCTCCCGTATATATCTGGGTTCTGCATCCTCCTCAGGATGTACCCTGCGCCTCCAGCTGCTCTCAGGGCACAGCCGCTGTTTTTGTTTCGGAGTAATTTGTGCTTCTATCTCTAGGTGCACGTCTTATGTACAAATACTCTTCCGCGCGGTATTTGAAATCGACAGTTTCGCGCGACGGGGTGATGTTATTCCGAAGAGTCGCCAGCACTCTCCACAGTTTACACGTTTGACCTAATACCGGATAGTTTATATTTGACGATACGCGGTGTGCCGCACCAAGATATGTCCGCTAAATTAACACGGGAATAAAGTATTTTGATATGAAAATGAAATAATGCCTTCTATACATCCCTACCTTCCACATCCGCATGCATATATATATATATATATATATATATTTAATTGCGGGCTAATTAGCTCTGACGAATAAAAAGGAAACGCGGTATCCTTTCAACTTGTTGAAGCTCGAGACACCGCGTATAGGAAGAAAACCGTAAATTGAAAACAGAAGATTAAACAGCATCCGCATTTAATGACTTGTCGATTTTTTCAAACTTTGAAGATTCCGTCTCGATCAGCCTTCGTGCTTCCTCAATTGAAAACTCGAGAAAAATACAGCATAATTTCTCGCGATAACAAATTATTATTTAATTATTAGTTATGTGTTTGCGCGTGCAATTAATAGTTTAATTGGAAACAATAGTTCGTCTAATGGTCGTCGAACTCGTCGAGCTGACTCTCCGTAGAGTATAAAATTACGTCTACGTGACTCCCCGTGTGATTGGTATTGCCTATACGTGATGTTTATCTTTTTTTTTTTCGCGTAGAACCTATATATGAACCATGCAGAAGCAAACAAGCCCGTTTCTTGTCCGGAATTATAAAGGAATTTCGACGAATTTGCTGCATGCGGAAGAAAATGTCGAATTTTATAAACGAACACACGCGAGAGCTGTTCTAAATAATAATTCAAAATTCTCGGTTCGCGTTCTTCGCGGCAGATAGGAGTTCCTGTATCCGCGTCATACAGGAGACGTAAATTATGCGCTGAAAAGGCGGTTCACGCGCGCGATTATCTTGATTATCGGTATCTAATGATTCACGTGATTAAAGCATCGTGGCGTGCACGTGCTACACGGTGGATGACACCCACCGGTTTGCTGATCCCGCCACGTGATTATATATTTTCGCAGACCATCGCGAATATAACAAAGATCGCCTCCATAAATGAGAATCACGTGGGAATGGGCTCGAACACGTGCCAACGTTAAATGTGTATTTAAACGCGGAGAGAACACAAGAATTCCAAGTCTTCGTGTCCTTCAAGAGTCATCCTGCGTGATGTTAACTCCAGACGGAAATCTTCCATGAGCGATAGTTTCATTGGGATGGAATGTGCGTGTGCGTGTGTGTGTGTGTGTGTGTACCTATTTGTTCTCTACTTCTCAGCCCCAACAAAGATGTTATCTAATAATATCGTCTCGTTATCGACCGGGTTTTCGATTCTTTCAAAGGTACCCGCATAACAAATAAGCAATGTCTAATTTCTATTTTGAGTTTTTCTACTTCCTGTTGGCAGTGTCGCGACGTGGTGAGGCAGGTCGCGGCGGTCACGTCGCTCGTCGAACGGCAAGATGAGGCCCGACGAGATGGTGGTGAATAACGGCGAACCACGACGGGCGGCGGAAACGATGTCGGAGACATCGGAGGGCACCGCGACCACCAGCGTGTCCGGCAAATCCGGCTTCGAGAGTCGCGAGGAGCTGCGTGACCTCGCGGCCCTGTTGGGTATCAACGACCCTGAGGATCTGCATCAGGAACGCTTCCGTGTCGACCGCCGCAAGCTAGAGCAAATGCTTCTCGGTAAGTGCGAGAGATCGATTCGTAGCTGAACTTGTCATTAACGGAGTCGACGAATGCACCGATATGCATACACAAGTAACACGCATCAAGATATTTTAGTGTCAGAAAAATAATTTTTGACAGTAAAAATGAGAGAGTTGGATCAACAACAACAAAAAAAAAGAAAGAGTACAGAGGAATAAAATAACATAAAAAAGAAAGAACTTCTGTATTATCATTTCTATTTGTAGTTCTATATTAGAGGAGGGGGAGGGAGAGATAGATTTTCGTTTCCTATATTACGTCACCATATTAATTTTATATAATCATTATTCAATATCAAAATATTTTTTCAGATGTCATACGATACATTCGTATTTGCTTACAATACTGAAGTAACGATAAATTTTCATAAAAGTTTTTTATTAATAATTTTTCTTATTATTAATAATGCATTTATAGATAGCAACGTAATTAATAGTAACATAAGATAATCATTAAATTATAGATATGTAAAACTGATTTTTTAATTAAATTATATTTAAAAATATTAGTTTAATTCCAGTCTCAAAGTATTGAAATGATAAATCGATTTTATTTATGAAATACTATGTATAACCATTAATATAATAGAAAGCAAACTGAATCGAATAGAGTCACAAAGAATTTAGCTGATTTAAATGGCAAGTGTATGTAAGGACCAATCCAATCCATCGTGATGTGACAAAGTCTCCCATGACTGGCGTACTTTCTCCCCGACCACCAATATCAGAGTAGGTGGTTATCAAAGAAAGAGATATTAACGGTCAGGGACTAACGGTCGAATAGAAACAACTCGTTCCTAGATTACCAACTACTTTAAGGCGAATTAAATTTTATCTTTCGGACAAGTTTATGAATTCGGCGCATGTATAACATTTAGTTTGCTTTAATTTAGCGTTATAAATGCCACGTGTTTTGTCTCGACCTCCAGCAGTTTTCTGACATGAAAATATCTGCTATTTCGCACCATCATCGCCATCGTACTCGGTGTTAAATCACGCGTCAAGAATGACAATAACTTCGCTGTTATGTATTTCGCGTTTAATCCCCCCCCCCCTCCCCTCTTTCTCTGTCTCTGTCTCTCAATATAGATACACTAAGCACTCGGGTGTCCTTTATCGCTTTCATTGCTTCTGGAGTGTCTATAACGCTCAAGGAGCGAAACAAGTCACCGCTGTGTCTACTTTCGCTTTCCCGTCGAACGTAGACTTGATTCCTTTTCGTTGTCTTTCCGCGACGGCGAAAGCATTCGCCGTTTGCGAAAAATTTTCCGATCAATTGAGCCGAACAATAAAAATATTTTCACTGTTTTTGGAAAATGAAGAAGTATTAATGCGCGATTGGGTTTTTTCACTTAAAAAAGAAAAGATCAGGTTTAAAATTGAAAATGCATTGTTGCTAGTACAGTCTGATGAGAACACGAAAAATTATAGTATCTTTTGAACGTCTTTTGCGTTGTCTGAGAACTTTAAACCGTAACTTATTTTTAATGTAATCGTTAATTTTTTTACTCGAATGTCAAGTCTATTAACGTGACTACATTGATCGAGGAAATATAGCAGTTTCTTGCTCGTTTTGCTGTATCGCTATTTGCATTCGCGAATGGTTATACCTGGAACTAAGATTTAAATAGACAGCTTGTTTGTAAACGAGATTATATAGCAGCTGTCAAGCCCCACTGTTTTTCGCGCCTTGTAATAGCGTTCAACCGATCGCTATGTAAAAGCGTACAAATCTATTTTGCTTAGGGAATACGTGTTTTTAAATTATTTTATATTGATATGCGGAACGGAAGTACGCGATTATGTACGATATATATGTAGATTAATTAAACTTATCGCGAAATCGAAGAAATTACATCATATAATGAAATTAAGATAAATAAAGAGCAGGAAGAGAGATAATCGCTTGAAAAACATTTTTATGTTTTAATTTTATCTTTGCATTTGCAGGTGATGTCAAACCAGCGGATACTTTCTTCCACAGCGTGAGTTTTTTTTTTAATTCTTTTTATGCCATAAATTTAACTTTAATTATAAGTTATAAACACTGCAAAATGCACTGGAAAAAAAACTGAGATATTTTTTAAATTAATTATTTTATTTAGGATTTCATATCTTTTAAAATAATTATATATTTTTAATTTAAATAACAATTTTTTTATATAGTATAATTTTTTAATATGAGGAAACAAACGAAAATAAAGATTGTTTCAAAAAGCTTTAGGAATAACATATATAGTTAATAAAAATAGAATAATTAAATAATTCTAAATAGTATTATATTTACATATATGACATATTATATGCTCAATAAATCCTTAATATATTGAAATATTAGCGAGGAATATTAATATCTCGTTTTGTGTGTTTACTTGTTTATTATAAATCACAGTATGAAAAGTGAAGTCTCATCGTGAAGATTTTATTGATCGATTAGTGAAAACTTTCTATCCAACGATTGCTGACAAGCGACACGTAAGATAGATCGTGATATTTCATGATGCAACTCCTTTCTCTCAACCACAAAAGATTTTTCTTAGTGCAAGATCAGTAAAAGTTCCTTGCCATTTCTGCTGGCTTATTTGAATCTCGTTAAAGTTCGATATAACGTTGCAAAAAGAGAATCAGTTTAATAAAGATTTATTTTAATAATTAATTTTATTTAATTTATAAATACTTAATTGGTTATATAAGAATGTGATTTCTTAAGGTATCGCATCTTTTGCTATAATCACAAAAATATTTATAAATTAGATAAATTTAATTATTATAATAAATTTTTATCGAACTTCCTTTACAACGTTTCATCAAATTCAGTAAAACGATGTTGAGAAATATTATTTCATTTAACTAGTTATTTATATTAAAGTTAACTCGCTATAAATTACTGTAATAACTACCGTGTAATAAGCAGAGATGTTTGAAAAATGAAAATATTGTTTTCTAGTATTATATAAAAACGCAAGAAAAAAGTGATAATATAATACATATATATTATATTGTGTGTTTATCGATGTGTATATGTTATATATCATATAACGGAAAATATTTCCTGTTTTTAAGGGAAGTGAGACCTTTGAAAAGACAAAAAATCGATTTTCTATTTTTACCGACACACATATTATATACTTGTATAGAATTTCTATAGCTTTCACTTTGTAACAAGGAAATGTACAAACATACAATTATGACAAGCGAGCTTCTTCATTTAATTGCCATAATGATCATTTTCGAGACAAAGTCAGATCTCATGCCAGACAACGAAATTAAATTTCTCCTTTTTTCATACCATGTTTACACGAGAGGACAACCAATTTCTCCGGTAAAAGAAGGAAGTATGGGAGATATGAAATATAAATGTATATATATAGATATAGAAGCTAATACGAGTCGCGTAAATGTCTGTACAGCGTACTTGATCGCACAAGTGCAATATTCATAAATTATAAGACAAATTCCTAGATTTGTTTTCGTGATGTCGAAGGGAAATAAACAGAAGTCTGATCAACTTGGCCGACTTCGGTAATCGCGCTTAGAGAATTGCCGACGTAGGCGAGTCGTTTCCTTGTCGAGGCAACGTCGTACTGACCTTGTGATTATACGAAAGCGAAAGAGTCTATTTTTAAGTTTTTCGCCTCCTGCACGGCAACCTCTTCCCTCTCCTCGCGACAACTCGCATTACGTCGAGCGAACTGCGACTGTTCGCGCAATATGATTTCTTCACTGATAACGCAGACGATACGTGAGCTTCTTCCCTGTCTTTCGAGATTTCGCCAAACTATTGCAATTGTCTGACACAATTTTATACAGGATTTCTCATAATCGAGACTTTTTTCGCGGAATCTTTCAAAAATAATCATGAAAAAAAATTGTAGGGAAAGGAGGACTAAGTAATAAAAGATATGAATGTACATACCTTATAAAATATGTATATGAAACCATATATTGCTAAGAGATAAATTTTATAGAAAAAATTAAATTTTTATTAAATATCGATGGAAAGACTGAATCAATCTCTTGATATTTCATCAATTAAAATATGACAGTCATTAAAGTATCGAAATCGGCAACTGCTCATACTTTGAGAAAGAATCAGTACTGATAGTAAACGATTTCTCGAATGTATTGACGACGACGACGATATACACAAAAAATCTGGATTACGGCGCGGAGAAATCCGAACTAGCGCGTAAAGAAACTCGTTCTTTCCTTCGTCTTCCTCCTCGTCATGATAACGTAACTCGAAATTACAATCGTAGAGCTAAATGAGCTCGCAGCAGGAAGCTTACGATTCGGACGTAACACTGCAATACTTTCTCCGTCTTCTCTCTCCGTCTTGTTCGCTCGCCCGACAACTCGACAGAGAAAACCGATCGACTAGTTACGATCGGTGGGGATCGCGATTCTCGCAGCGATGAGTGGATAATTGAGGAAACACGTAATCGGATAATATCATGAATCGGGAATCATCGAGGGACGGAGCACGTGCTTGTCTCTCATTAAATTTGGTTCGAATTGAAATCAAATTTGAGAGAAGAGGATTCTTATGCAATAATCCAATCGCAATTATGTAAATATCTGACATAACGACTTTAACGACTGCAAGATTAATTGATATTAATGCTATAGTTTACACAATTTTCTAAAAAAATAGTAATTCTTTTTGGATTCTACAACGTACAAATTTGACTTTACCAATGATTCAATAATTCACAAACGATTTTGCAGATAAATATTTGTTTTTATATTGATTTCTCTCAGGAAACTTATTTTAATTTCCGCCTTAATAAAAAATTTCGCCTATCGGGGAAATCGGAAAGATGAATGGGAGATGAGTGTACATACACAACATATGTGTATGTGAATTAAAGAGATGAATTAAAACGTCGCGAGAAGACTGCGCCGATAAACGGATCGTATATGCCCGTGGGGCCTCCGAGTGCCGTTCACCAAGCAAGTTCGAAGGCAACATGCTTATCCTTATCGCCTTTGCACGACGACGTTGCGTAAATGAGGAGGGGAGCCCTGGAAATACACCGGCCGATTATTTATAGAGTGGCTTTAACGGCATTCTCCCCGCCATTCCCTCATCGTGCTTTTAAGCAATTCCACGGTGCGATATACGCGTACTACCCGGTATTATCGCCAATGTACATAAAAAATTTTGTCGAACTCATGCTGTCTACCATGACACACTTGAAATATATAGAGAGAAAGAGAGAGAGAGAGACCGATGTATTTGTTAAATTTGACGAATACATCAGTTTCTCTCTCTCTCTCTCTCTCTCTTTCGTTCCCCTCTCTCTTTCTTTCTGTCTTTTCCTCTTGATGACGATATCGCCACGTTAATTATAGCGCCATGGTGTAATCCTTGACCGCTGTTGGCTCTTCGATGCCGATAACAACGAATGAGATATCGCGCATTGCTAGTCGACGCTTCATTAATTAATGTCCGCGTGCGTACTGCCTCTTCGGTGAAGCATATTGATTTTGCAGATAGCTCGGAACTTTTAAATTAGCATGAATAATGCAGTTGCTGAGATAGGATTTCGTCACTTCTTTCGTTAATTCTTCGATATGACTATATTTAATTCAAATCTCTTATCTCAAATATAGGATATTTGAAAAGAATTAATTATCTTATGAAATGAACTAATTATCTTATCAAATTAAATTGTGATAGTTAACGGTCATCTTGTGGCATATGGTATGTACTAATCAATATATGATAAATTGAATTTTGAGATGTCACTTTTGATCGAGAGACAATAATAAATGTATTTATAAATTTATTATTATTAAATGTAAAAAGAAACAAAGGCAAAAGGAAAATGTTATATAAGTTTAAAATGTATCGATATACAATACATATATATGTATCCAATGTACACTTCTCAAATTGCACTTGAATACTTATATGTATATAATTTTAATTTGCTGCACTTTCTTACAGTCGATAACGATTCCTTTGTTTTATTTGAAACCTAATTAGTTGCAAAATGGTGCTTTTTTTTGCGAACGTTTTAATTTTTGCGATCACGTTTTTCTCCGCGTTTATCTTTTAATCTACCCAAAGAAATGCAATATCTCCTATTATGTAAATATTATTCCGTTTCTGGTACGAGACGCAGCTGTGTCATGTTTTAGAAATATGACGTTTTAATTTATTCTTCAAGAAGTTTGCAATCGCTTCTTCGACATCATTCGATTGTAATTAGGGATACTTATGATGCCTCCGTATCACGTTAACTAGTTATTTTACAAGTATTACCATCTTAATTTCCTTATACTTGCTGATTTATTTATCTATTTCGTATAGTTTATTTCTTCAAGTCATAATAATTCAAGCGAGCACTCTATATGTTCTATTTTCGCAAAGTTTAATCTAGTTGAATCTAGCATATGCGTTCGTGTACGTGGACGAACACATATATTGCATAATGCATGATCTTCACTCGAACAGACCGCGAGACACATCCGCTGATTCGTCGAACTAGATTTGCAATTCGGTGAAGTTATACATGTATAATCTGCCGCGACATACGCGATCGAAGTGATTCGAAATGACGATAAAGCGTGGAGTGAGTGATAATGAGGAACATATACGATCAAAGAGAGCTCTCGGTATTTTAATTCGGAGATTAATATTATATTAACCGGGCTGCGTATCAAGATTTCGATTAATTACTACTTACATTTCTATTAATTCGGAATTTGTTATTCTCTTTAAACTGTAGTTCGTCTAATTTCGAATAGGAGATCGTGGACATAAGTGAAGAAAAAAAGAATTTTAGAATTCTTAATTTCGTGTTACTATATATATATTTAAATGCAATGCGCTATCTCGTTTTATAATAAGATTATTGCACAAGTAAACATGTATATACGTTAATCTCTGAAATTTTTTTAAGAATAATCGAATCGGTGAAAGTTGGTATAATCGAGCTTCTTACGCATGTGAAATTTTTTTAAATTGTGATGTGTG